GATGCTTGCCTCTTTTTAACTTGCTCAATCCAATCTTGAGATGCTCTTTTTCAACTTGAGCTTCTTGTTCTCTTCCTTAAGAGCATCATTGTTCTTCTTTTCCTTGAGCTTCTTGTTTTCTTCTTTGAGCTTCTCATTCTCAAGGATCAAGTCACCATCATGATCAAGAGTTTCTAGCACAATGGTGTTGTGGCTTTTAATTTCTTCAAGATCTTTCTTGAGCTTTGCATTGTCATTCTTGAGCTTGACAAACTCATCATAATCATTGGCCTCAACCACTTGCTTGCCCTTCCTACTAGAACCTTGCTCAATGCTCTCATTGATCAAGTCATCACATGATGTAGCTATATCAATCTTAACAACATGGTTAGTAGCATCATGTGGCTCATTGGATAGAAATTCTTGAGCAATAACAAGATTATCATGATTAATATTAAGAGTGGTATATTCTTCTTTTAGCTTGTTGTGGCTAGTGATGAGCTCTTTGTGCACCCGCTCAAGTTTATCATGTTTATCTTTAAGCTCTTTCTTAGAAGATTTGAGCTCCTTGAGTTTGGATGACATAGCTTCATTTGCTTCTCTAAGCTCAACACTAGACTTTTCGGTAATGTCACATTTAGCTAAGAGAGAATCATTCTTAATCTCAAGCTTTTCATTTTTAGCTCTAGTCTTTATAATGATCTTAGTGTATTTCTTTAGCAATTTAGCAAGATCATCATAAGAAGGTGATTCATATTCATCATCATCGCTATCACTATCACTATCATCATTATGAGCATGATCATCACCACTACTATCATCACCATGTGATACCTTTCGTCCACCTTTGGTCATAAGGCATAGGTGTGTAGAGGATGATGGCGGTGGTGTCGGTGAAGATGATAAAGAGTCAATAACAATAGCGGCCACCTTCTCGTCGTCACTACCATCATCGGATGATCCACTAGATGAATCAATGTTCGTGAGCCAATCACCGACAATGTAAGCCTTTCCACTCTTCTTCTTCATCTTGTGGAAGTCCTTCTTGCCATCTCTCTTCTTGTATGACTTGTTCTTTTTCTTCTCATATTCATCTTCATTGCTTGAGTCATCTTTCTTGCCCTTGTTCTTGTTCTTGAACTTGTCTTTCTTGGGTTTTGTGCATTGGTGAGCTAGATGACCAAGTTCTCCACAATTGTAGCAATCCATCTCGGAGATTGGCTTCATTCTAGAGCTTGTGAAGAACTTCTTCTTGTCATCAAACTTGATGCCACTCTTGTTGAGCTTCTTTAGCATCTTGGCGGTTTTCTTCACCATGAGAGCAAGACTTTCATCATCAACTTCATCATCACTTGAGCTCTCATACTCAAGTCTTGTTTTGCCCTTCTCTTGGCTAGCTTTGAATGCTAAATCTTTTTATTTCTTCTTTGTAGAGGATGAGCCATCTTGAGGTGTGATATGCATGTACATCTCATGAGCATTGATCTTTCCCAAGATTTGTGTCGGTGTAGCGGTGGAAAGATCATCTTGATGTAGCACGGTCACAATATGCCCATATTTTTCAATGGGGAGAACACTCAATATCTTTCTTACAACATCGGATGGTTGCATTTGAGTAAGTCCAAACCCATTGACTTCCTCTACAAGAACATTCAAACATGAATACATTTCATTAGCATATTCTTTAGGAAGCATTTCAAAAGAGGTGAGCTTTTTCATGACAAGATATAATGTTCCTCATGCTCACTCTTTGTTCCCTCATGGAGCGCACAAACGTCCGACCATTGTGCATGGGCGTCTTTCTGGTTCCTCATCCGGTTGAACACATCTTTACAAAGGCCTCTAAATATGGTGTTTCTAACCTTTGCATTCCATTTTTCGTAGTTCAACTCATCGCCTTGTGGGTGTGCGATATCCTGAGGTTTTGGGAAACCTTGTGAGGCGGCTCTAAGTATTCCAATATCTAGAGCTTCTAGATACGCCTCCATGCGGATTTTCCAATATGGGAAATCATCCCCCTCGAAGATAGTAGGAGGTCCATCCCCATGAGACATCTTTCACTAGGCGGTTAAGCCTAAATATGTGAGCACGAGGCTCTGATACCAATTGAAATGATCAAGATGCCCAAGAGGAGGGTGAATTGGGCTAATTCTAAATTTCTTTGCAATAATTAAATCCTATGGTTAGCCCAATTAACCTCTTGTGCCTAGAAAGTATTTTTAATTGTTCTACCGCACAAAAGACTTGCAACCTATGTTCAAATCCTACTCTAGCATGGCAATTCTAGGAATGTAAATGATAAGAATTGAATTGCTCAAAGTAAATGCTCAAAGTAAAGAGAGGAGGAAGAACGCGACGATGTTTTGCCGAGGTATCGGAGAGTCGCCACTCCCCACTAGTCCTCGTTGGAGCACCCGCACAAGGGTGTAGCTCCCCTTGATCCACACAAGGATCAAGTGCTCTCTATGGGTTGATTCTTCGACACTCCGTCGCGGTGAATCACCCACAATCGCTCACAACTTAAGTTGGGTCATCCACAAGCTCTCCAGATGATCACCAAGCTCTCAATCACCACCAAGCCGTCTAGGTGATGGTGATCACCAAGAGTAACAAGCACGAACTCTCACTTGACCACGACAAGCCTAATGAGAAGGGTGGATGCACACTTTATTACTCTTGATCTTGCTAATAAGGGCTCTCTTTGGGATTCTCAAATCTCAATCACCTCACTAGGACCTTGCTCTTTTTGGTACTCTCTAAGGTGTTTCTCAGCTGTTGGAATGAGCAAAAGTACCCCCACACACGAGTGGAGGTTGTATTTATAACACTGGCTGAAAAACGAACCGTTATATGCCTCTGCGGGGTGACCGGACGCTCCGGTCAGTACACCCCGAACTCTAGTGTTTATAGTGTGACCGGACGCTGGGCAGCGTCCAATCAGCATTGACCGGACGCGTCTGGTCGTAATTTTCCCTCTCTGGAATCTTACTAGAGTTGACCGGACGCTGGCCCTCAGCGTCCGGTCACTTCACCTCTCAGCGTCCGGTCGCACCGAACGTTTTCACCTTGGTCAAATGAACTGATCGGACCCTGAGCCAGCGTTCGGTCAAACCGAAACCAGCGTCCGGTCAGTATTTGACCCTCCATTCACTTTCAACTCTCGATCATATGTGAAAGAAGTTTGCTTCAATGGATCTTAGGCATATTTAGGAGCTATCTAGTGCTAGTTTTAACAAGTGTGCACCACACCTAACTCACTAGACTCACCTAGGTCAAGCTACCCGTCCATACCTCCCTTAATAGTACGACCAAAGGAAAAACAAAGTCCTAAACTACTCTAAGTGTCTCTCCAACTCCAATCGACACTTAAAACTAGTCCATCCTTAACCTTGTCGTCCATCTTTGAAAACCGAAACAATTTCCATCGTAGGGGCATGACCACCTTGTTTGCCCAATCGATCTCCATTACCATGACCTAACTTAATTGTCTCTACAAAACACACGTTAGTCATAGTAATCTTGTATTGTCATTAAACACCGAAACCCAACTAGGGGCCTAGATGCTTTCAGGTGGTTAGCAGCACGGCCGAGCCGCCGCAGCGGAAGAGGCAGTGGCCCAGCATCATGGACCTGTCGACGCCCGCGTAGCAGTTGGGCGTGATGCACTCCGCGGAGACGACGAGCGCCAGCGTCGGGCGCCGCGGGGACCGAGACCGGGACCGCGTGTGCATGGTGCGCGGGGCGAGGTCTACGGCGACGAGCACGGCGGCGCATCCCATCCCGGAGAGGTTGTAGGCCACGACGTCGTCTCTGTTCGCTCTCTAGCCCGCGCGGCCGCCGGAGCTCGCCTGCGCTGCCGCGCTCGCAGCACTGCGTGAGCTCGCCTACGCTGGAGGTCTGCTCGCGCGCCTCCGCTGGTTCGCGCCGCCGCAGGAGCTCGCCCGCGCCGCTGCCCTCGAGCCATCGCGCAGATGTGTTAAGGATGAGCTTTCGGTTCCACCGGTGCCGGAGAGGGCCTAGACGTGCTTCGTCCGCGGGGAGCTCCAACTCTAGGAGGTGGAACACAATCGGGTCCACCGTCGACACCTCGGAGTGGCCCTTTCCCGGCCGCCGAGGCGGCGGCGACGACCGCATGAACCCGCCGCGCTCCAGCACTGTCCACAGGTAGCTGTACTCGAGGTCCTCCTCCAGCGGCGGCGACGAGGAAACGCGGGCGCGGGCCGAGCAGCAGTCCGTCGACAATGACGACGACGACGTCGTCGGTGCGGACGCTAGGCACGCCGCGGGCTTCTTGATCCGCGTGGCGAAGCGCTCGCACTCGTCTGGTTTCCTCGCTCGGGTGGGCGGCGGGTCGAGTGGCGGCGGTGGCGGCGGCGGCCGCGACGGCTTCGCCCGATGCGGTGGCGGAGGGGACAATGGCTGCTGCTGCTGCCTTGGCGCCAGTGTCACCCTGGGGCTGTGATGCTTCTCCTTGTTGTTAAAGCAGCTCTGCCTCTTCGTTATTGAAACGTGCGGCTCACGTGCTTCGTCCGCCACGCTGGTGCTGCCATGTCGCCAGGAGGCCGCGCTGGATGGGAAATGGACCTGCGGTGAACAACTTGACAAGTTCAGGGGCTTATTTTCCGCGTTTGCAAGTTCGTTGACCGGACTGGCACAGGCCGACAAGTTAAAGGGCCGCCAGTGTATTTCACTCATTAAACTATATTGCATGACGGATCTAATTATACTTGTTTGATAATTTAATTTCAGTGTATAAATTTGGTTAAACTTTAAATAGACATCAATTTTTTTTAAGACGGATGGGGTATAAGATTCTAGATCGTGATAGAACACGAGCCGATGGCTAGTTCCCTCTCAATTCAATGGATAAACCCCCAAAGAAATATAATGTAAAATAATATATACATACACGTGCAGTGGTACAACTTTAAAATGAAGAAACTACTATACACAGTATCTAAGCATTACCTAGTTATGTATGTATCGTTTATTTTGTACCTACAAATTTTCACAATTTCAGTCTAGATTTTCTGAAGAACAGCAGACATGTTCGCTCGTCGCTTGCACAGAGCTTCCAGCGGGACAGCCTTAGACATGATGGTGCCAGTGGCTGTTGCCATGTCAACTTCCGCATCCCGAATCCTGGTCCAATCGAAGCATTGGAGCAGCGCCCCCAGGACCAGCCCCATGGTTCGCATTGCGAGATTCTCACCGGGACACACGCGCCTCCCCATCCCAAATGGCATCATAAACTTCCCCTCTGCTCTGCCGTGCTCGAACCTCTCCGGCCTGAACTCCTCCGGGTCCTTCCATGTCGCCGGATCTCTGTGGATGGCGTACGCATTGACAAGGATCATCGACCCTGCCGGGACGTCGTACCCGTGGATCTTGCAGTCCCCGTGGATCTTGCAGTCGGTGGACGCCTCGTGCGGCAGTAGCATCGGCGCGGCCGGGTAGAGGCGAAGCGTCTCGCTGATGATGCAGTGGAGGTACGGCAGACGGGGAAGGTCGTTCTTGTCGACAAGACGACCCCCTCCGACGATCGACTCGATTTCTTCCTGCGCCTTTTTTAGCACATCTGGGTGGTTAAGCAGGAGCGACATTGCCCATTCCATGGTCGTTGAGGTCGTCTCCGTGCCGACGCCGAGCAGATTCTTCAATCCAGAAAAAGTATTAATGAAAGAAAGCATGCTAATTATCTGCGCAGAAGTAGAATTATTAATGACATGGAAACATGCGTAGTGTTACTCACTGGCACGAGAGCGCTGATAAAGGTGTCCATGTAGACATCAGGCTCCGTTTTCTGCAGTGACAGCATGACACCGATCATGCCCATCTTCTCGTCCGCCGAGTCACTGGCATCGACCTCGCCTTTCTTGCGTTCCAGCTGCTTCAGCTTCTGCCTCTCTGCATCGATCATCTTGTCGAAGAACAGGTTCCTTCGCTTAACCACGTCCGCGAGCTTCCTCTTCGCGCCGTACACATCGAGCCACCGCAGCAGGTGTTGGATTTATTATGGGCTAGTCCCATTTATATATCTAATAAATTATAACTCTATGGCCTGTAATTGTGGGTATTATTATTTGTACCGGATTGGAAGTTAAAAGGACGTTGACTCAACTTAAATGATTGGATTGGATCTGTCTAATTTGAGAGGTTGAGAAACGGACAAGGGCGTGCCACACGTGCGCGCGCGCCGCCGCCGCCGCCGGTCGGGCTCGGGCCCGGGCCGTGGCGTGGCGAGGCAGGCAGGTGGGCGTGGTTGCGATTCTTCCAACTCCAGATAAAAAGAGAGAACATATTCCAGAAACTGGGTTCAGTTGCTCGATAGCTTTCCTCATCTCGTAACTCTGCGCGCACGGAGGAGCGAGAGGGCAGGTGCCTCCGAAGCCCTTGTCGTTCGGGACCTTGCACGGGGGATCGGCAATTAGGTTTTTGGGGAGCGTCTACGCAACTGCCCAAGAGTCTCCGTCTCCGTACGTCCGTACGTCGTCTTCTTCCCGATCACCGGCGTCTCCTTCTTCGAGTACAGCAGCATGTCGACTTCGGAATCACGGACGGAAGAGTATGATCATTTCATCTTCTCTCAGTTTATTCCATATGTCCAGAATTGCCGTTTTAAGAGATGTCTTATGTCTGTTTCTGTCAAATATATGCTCTGCGTATGTGCTTTATTGTTACAGTCATGTTGCTTCATATGTAGCCTTATGCTTGTTGCAAATATGAGATGTATATCATGCCAGTTTCTCTCTGTTATGATTTATGAATCAAATTCACATGTTTTTGATTTTCATATGTTTCACATGATACATGATCTAGCATGTATTTTCACCATGGATATAACCAATGTCATGATTTCAATGATTAATATTTCTTTATATGTCATCATCATGCTGTTAAATTATGGAATTAAAATGACATGGAAATTGTCTATTATTCTAACAGCAGGGGCATGTAGTCCCACCGGTTGGCCACACCAACAAGCGGGATGATCTCCTCGATGATCTCCTTCATCTCCCGCGCCTCCTTGGACATGTCCTCGTCCGCGTCGTCGGAGTAGGTATTCCTGGTCTGCTCCATGATCTCCATCAGGACGCTGTGGGAGAGGTCAAACAGCCTCCGCTTCAGCTCGACCCTGGCGGCGGCGCCCGGCGCGGAGGCGGAGGCGCGGGCAAGGCAGCGCACCATGGCGCGCAGCTCGCGGGCGATTACGGTGTCGGACATGATGTTTGTTAGACTTAGCATGTTTAGTTGAGTTTCTTTTTCCTTTCAGTTGTAATCCCGTTGTAACTCTGCATGTGTCATGTTTAGCGCGTAGAACCACGGTCCCGGGCGGAGATGTGCCCAGTCCAGGACGTGGCCGCGTGAGTCGGGTAAGTGGTCACCGCCACTGCATGGTCGTCGTGCATGTCGCTCGGCGTGGCAGAGAAACCGGATCGAGCAGCGATCGTGTGGTGGCGGGGGACGGGCTCAGGCCCATGTATCTGCATAATAAAAGGCAAGAAAAAACCCGAAAAGCTGCGGTGGTTGTGCAGCGAAAAAATCCATCGCATTCTGTTGTCCAGTTCATTGTGTGTGTTGCGTGCGCCCGGTGATCGCGCTCCGGCGTTCGCCGGCGTTCCAGTCAGCAGCAGGGGTTCGGCGGACACCGCCGGCTCCAACAATGTTGACGCGGTGCGCCGAGAGGAGGTGCACGGTGGAGACGCGGCGCATGGTGCGCCAGAGCGCGCCGTAGTTGGCGACGGTGAGCACCGAGTAGTCGAAGGAGACCTCACGCGCGGACGGGAAGTGCGGGCGGCGATCGCGACGTCAAGCTCTCCGGAGAAGCACTCCTTGGCCACCGCCGCGGAGCCGATGACGACGGCGTGGCGGCCGCCGAGGCGCAGGTGGACAACCGGTCCGTGGCGCGACACGAGGTCGGCGAGCGAGGTCTGGAGCGGCTTCTTCAGCAAGGGGAGGTGGCCGAGGATGGGGAACGCGAACCGCGGGCCAGGTGGCAGCCGTTGCTGCTTCTTGCGCCTCATCAAGAGGTGGTGGAGCAAGACGAGGAGCACGGAGGTGACCACGGCGACGTAGTAGAATCTTTCCATGGCTCCTCTGTGGTGGAGCGGCGGTGATGGTGGAGCGTGCGATGAGCTGAAACTTAGGACCAGTTCTAGCTGTGGGAAGTGCTGTATATGTTGTTCTTCTCCATTGACATTATTATATGATATATGGATGGGCGTGGTCAGATTTATATGAGGCCAGAACGTGGACAGGCTTCGCTCTCAAAAGCAAAAATGGCGACGAACTTGTGGCTATGTGATGTTTCGCTGTTGATTGTCGCACGTTTGTCAATGGTTATCTTCGTCTTCCTCTCCACGTGAGCCGGAACCCGGAAGCTTTGACGCCTCTCACAAAGGAAGCAACAACCGCAGCAGCAGCTCGTGACTCTGGCGGGAGAGAGCGAACTGGGATCGCTCTTGGAAGGGTCAACAGTACCCTTCAGAAACAGCCGTACTGGAATTTTTCGCGGGTCTTACTTTACGTGCGGCGTTGCCAGATCACCATCGGCGGGGAAGCCGCAACCGCAAGGAAACCCCTGACCACCTTCTTGCTGTCCTGGTGCCACGTGACGTCAACACAGGAAGAAATTTATCGATAATGCTCTCCTCAGGGCGTGTGTCCTACATCGCGTTTCGTGAGCCCGCGCGCTACCGGCCTAACAACTCATACTCATCTCTTCCACTGCCGGGAATCATACCTCCACTCCACTCGTTTCCTTTTGAAGAAGATACGACTTGCCGCCGTGCCCACACCCGACCACCATCGACCATGGTTGCGTCGCCGTAGGCTTCGCCCTCGCGCCGATAGTGTCCCACGTGTCTTTCCAGCCTGGTGTAGCCTTCCACGCTACAGGCCCCTCCTCGTCGATGTGGTTTCCCGGCCAGGCCATGGGCACGGGAGCCGCCGGTGAGGCTCGTGGTGGTCGCGCGGTACTCACCCTCATACGAGAGCAAGGAGGACGAGGACGAGGAGCGGCTTTGGGGCGGCGGAGGCTGGGGGAGGAGGGACCGCGAGCATGCTAGCTACCGCAGTTCACCACCAGGTAGGCCGGTGAAGCTGCGTTTCAAGTGTTTGAGGCATTTTAGATTAATGTTTCATCTGGATGTTGCAAAAGTAGATCTTGGGATGTTGCATATGACAATTTACGCATATTGCAGGCTTATGTTTCAAGTGTTTTAGTTTTTTCAGACGTATGTTTAAAGTGTTTCATCTGGTGTTACGGAAGTATATCTGCATGTTGCATAATATGCATGTTTCAAGTATTTCCGGTGTATATTGCAAGTGTTGTATCTGTATGTTGCAAAAGTAGATCTCGATATTGCATATGCTGCTTTGGTTATACACGCATGTTTCAAGCGTATGTTTCATCTCTTTTCAGTTATATGTTGCAAGTGTTTCAACGGGATGTTTTAAAACTAGATCTGGAGAAGCACATGTTGCAATGGCCTCGGTGCCTAGGGGTCAGTGGCCTGTCGCAGCCGCCTGCTAATGCTGGGGCGCCCCCGTGGGTCACCGTGCGGGCGTACGAGGCCACTGTCTCCGTGGTGCGTATCCACAGACAGGGTGAGACTGGTGCACTCATGCCTGTTATGGCCCTGTTACGCAGGCGCGGCGGGCGCAATGTGTTCGAACGGGTTGCAGTGTCCACGCCTCCTGCTTTGCTTAAAGGCAGGCCTCGTCAGCCCAGCCCACACCGTACGTGCTTTGCTTAAAGGCAGGCCAGGATTTGAACATCACGCCCACTATGCTGGACTTTTGTATTGGGCTGTGTCTCCACGTATGGCCCAAAACTAATATCATGGGCCTTTAAAAAACATTGGATTTGTCTCCTATTCAATATTTTTTTTTCGAATCATACTCATGTCGGCTATTTAATTTGTTCTCTGAAAAGTGTTTGGATCTAGTTGTGGTTTTTCCTCTCAAGAAAATCTCAGTGTGTTTGAGTGCAGTGTTTAGTATTCATTCCGGTTTCTTCCGCAGTAAGAACTCTACCTATCTGAGCGTGTATCTTATTATAAGACGCTCAGTCTGTCATCTTCTTAAGGCTTTGTTCAGTTATGCAGGAACGATGGCAGCCGTAATGGTTTACTAATTTATACTAGATGAACCCCGCGCATTGCTGCGGTGCCTTGTCTAATATTATGATGTATAGGAGCGTTTGTAGAGTGAGAAATGCTAAAATCACGAAAGGATGTGTGTGTGTGTTTATCCTTAGATACAACATGAAGAATTTTATGATATGAATGAGGGAAAAATTTAGATTGCACTTGTAGATGGAAGAAATACTATAATTATCGTTATATAGCTATAGAGAACAAAATCAAGAAACAAACCCAACCAAGAAAGAGTGATGCAACAACACCAAAATCCTCTAATCAGCCACCCCTAAACACCAAGTGCAGCAAGCTCTGTTTGTACGACCAATCATCAGGTCTGACGCTACTGCTGCGGCCTGCGGGTGGTCTTGCTGTGAGCGCGGCCACCAGTCCGACGCTGATGCCATCCTCAGCTCCATGCCTCCGTCTGATTCTGGTCCTCAAGATACTTGTGCAGCAGCACGGTGTGGTGCCCCTCGCCCTCCGCTTCCTACTTCGGCGGATGCTCTGTATCCTGTGCCCAAATCATGATGGCTCTGACGCTACTGCTGCGGGTGGTCTTGGTGTGAGCGTGTCCACCGGGCCACGGCGCTGGTGCTATCCTCCGCCCCGGTGCCCGCACCCATGAGGCATGTAAGCAGGCCTGCTACTATACGGAAGGCAAGCAAAGGGCTGAATGACGCTGGTGATTAATGCAAGTTTAAGAGAGGTGATTTCAGTTGGAGGAAAGCAAACAGGTAGAATAAAAATCCGCTTGTCGGCAGTTGCATATGGTGGTGGCCAAGTGGTGCTACAGCTTGACCGCAGTTGCTCTTGTAGTGGTTCTGTAGTGCCCATCGTTTGACTGCTCACATCGTGGTACACGTAGTGGGGAGCGAGGGGTGTGTAACAGATGATGACGTGGCTGCATCAAAAGCTAAGAAAATCAGGTAGTGGGGTTCTCCTATTAAGATATGATCACTTGTTTTGGTGTTGGTTTCGGTGGTAAAACAAAGCCAAACCAACAATATTTTCCTCTCACAAAAACCAAAGACCAACCAGTCCAAACCAAAGACCAAAGACCAACCAAATGATGTTCCCAGATGTATGTAGTGGGGAGCGAGGGGTGCGTAAAAGATGATGACGTGGCTGTACCAAAAGCTAGGAAAATCAAGTAGTGGGTTCTCCTCTTGAGGTAGGAAAGATAACCTGGAATAGTTCCTAGGCTACTCCACCGTAACCGAACGAGGCATAAACAATGCAGCGTGCACCCTATTTTGGAGACCTAAAGTCAGTGTTGGAATCAGAACTTTTAAATAAGGGGACTGAACAATACGATGACATCTCATAAATATGTTAAATATGTAACAAATGTATATATCAAAAGCATAATATTTATCATCAAAATAGAGTGAAATAATATTTTTTTACCTATCCAATTCAATTTTCTATAGGTATTTAAAAGAAATCACTGTGCTGGGGGATTTCTTTTTTAATTTTAACATTTTTTGTAAACTATTTTTAGATCTAACACCAGTTATTTTTTATCTCTAAAACTAACATTTTTGGCCACGTCTATTGCCATGGCGTAGCCAAATATCTGTGCCGCACCATGCATGGTGATGCGACGAGAAGATGACGCGACAAAGACGAAGACGTTGACTGATGACGTGGCAGGCTCTCTTACGTCACCATTCTTGATCTTGGCGCGGCGCCGCCGCGCCGTCCCCGGTGGCAGTCCCTCACGGTGCGGCCTTTCGGAGGGAGTGGCGCCGAGCTCGAGCCACTGTCGCGTTGACGGCGCGCGCGACGAGGCGGTGCTGCTGCTGTTGCTCACTGTGCTGCTCACTGCTTTTGCTGCTGCTGCTCACTGCAAACGGCGCCCACACCCCACAGCGCACTGCTTGGTTCTCGATGCTGTAGTCGAGAGCGATCGATTTTTATATTCTAGATAAGTAAAATACGACGACACTGTTGTGATGTCAGGTACGGTGAAAATCACCGGTGACACTTTCCGTGCAAGCCTCCAGCAGCTTGATGGCTTTGATGATTCAAGATACCAAAGATGAAGAAGACTATCACAATGGTTATTAAAGCCCATTGGTGATTGGATTTGGCTTTCGAAGCAGTATACCGACTCCGTGGCCCGTGCTCAGCTGTACAGCAACGAGCACTAGTTGAGCTAGTACCTTTCTTTCTTTTTCACTCTACTGTACAGCAACGTGCTCAGCGGTACGTAATACCACTTTTCCAACACACCTCGGAGTCAATTCTTTTAAATTTGTTCTAATAATATGCACAAAAAACTAATATTTATGATGTATAATGGTAGAATATATTTTATAACCAACTTATTTTAAGTATAAATGTTGATAATATTTTTATATAACTAATCAAATTTAAAAGTCTCAGGCTCGTCAAGAAATGAGACGCGTATTTATTTTAGGGCGAAAGCAGTATATGTGGCGAGCAGTATTTGAGTATACATTTAGATTATGTGCAATCTAAAAAACAGTGTCGTTCTTGTTTTTTAGGAGTTAAAAATTGTTCATATTTCAGGAGTTAAAAATTTTATAAGATGGCCCGTTATCACAGCAAGACCTATACGAGGATCCTCAAAACTCCCACGGTCTCTAAATATTTGTCGCCTTGATTTACGTGCCGATAACTTTGAATTGATTTATAAAAAATACGTACAATATTTCTATCTTCAAATGAATTTATTAAAAAACTAGATTCAAATATCTATTCAATGATACTAATTATATGTCATAAATATTAATATATTTTAATATGTATTTAATTAAAGTTATTTTTTGAGAAACGAAACGACAGATATTTAGGTACGGAGTAGTACCGTCAACTAAAAAAATAGGCAGCGGCGGCCAACAGCCAAACTTGGCCGTGACAGTAGCCAACTATCCTGCGCGTACTGTTGCACTGACCACGCCTCGTTCCATCGCTGCCCTCTCCGTCGCCCACGCCTCTGCGCGCACTGTAGCACTGACCACCATCGCTGTCGTGGTGCATGCATCTTCTCTTTTTATTTAAAAACTGGTCACGGGAAAGTTGTTGGCACCACCACTGATCAAGGGAGGAAGTTTGGACGGCAGGGAATTCCAGATTTTCTCCTTTTAGCTTGCGTTGCATTGGAACCTTAATTAATATAAGCTACAGTACCTTTTTAGGGTGAAAAGCTACAGTACTAGATTGACAAAGACACAGCACCTGTCTTTCTTTGGAACTTGGAACCTCGTTGGAATCTCTCTTGTGAAAGAGAAATCAATTCTAGGTGCCTAAATCTACTTGAACCTCTACTGAAAAGTACGTGTAATATATGAAACAAGAGTGTCATACTACATCTTCTAAAAGCGAGGAGAACCCCATTTCCATTGTATCGTAACGGAAATACAGATATTTTAATCTTATTCAAAAACCAACCTATTAGCTAGCTGCTTCGAAAGCCAAATCCAATCACCAATGGGCCTTAATAACCATTGTGATAGTCTTCTTCGTCCTTGGTATCTTGAATCATCAAAGGCATCAAGCTGCTGGAGGCTTGCACGGAAAGTGTCACCGGTGATTTTCACCGTACCTGACATCACAACAGTGTCGTCGTATTTTACTTATCTAGAGTAGAAAAATCGATCGCTCTCGACTACAGGATCGAGAACCAAGCAGTGCGCCGTGGGCGCCGTTTGCAGTGAGCAGCAGCAGCAAAAGCAGTGAGCAGCACAGTGAGCAACAGCAGCAGCACCGCCTCGTCGCGTGCACCGTCAACGCGCCAGTGGCTTGAGCTCGGCGCCACTCCCTCAGAAAGGCCGCACCGTGAGGGACTGCCGCCCCACGAGGGAAGGCGCGATAGAGCCTACCACATCACCGATCAGCGTCTTCGGTCTTCGCTACGTCATCTTCCCGCTGCCTAGAGTGACCTCAACGGAAGAAGGTTGATGGTAGCAATGGCAGATGCCGCACGCTGACAGCACATGCCTCTATCTTAGCAGCCATGCTCCAACAAGAGAACAGGAACGTGGAACGAGAACGAAAACTTTAGGTTATTGTATAACGTGTGAACGTGAACGTTGAACGTTCGGGGAACAAGGAACGTGACCATGTTCCACTTTTTTTTTCTGCTACGGCCTCTACCGATAAGCTTTGATTCATTTGGCAAGGAGCCAAGGAGCAAGGACACGCCATTCCTCAGTAAATGCTGCTAGCTGCTAGTACCTCACAGGATTCGTTGAACGTAGATATGGCTGTTGGGACTCGGGAGAATCTAGATCAGCAAATTTCAATCCATGCTCATGTCAGCTAAAACAACCACTGTAGCGCAGCAAATTCTCAGCGCTAGTTCTTACTTAGAAAAGATACTCCCTCCGTTCCAAATTACGAAATGTTTATGTCATTTCTAGACATATTCCTTTTACTACGTATCTAAACATAGTGTACATCTAAGTGCATAATAAAAGCTATATATCCAGAAAGATAAAATGTAATATAATTTGGAATGGAGTGGTACCATTCAGATTCTAGGATCAGTGATCCAAACTTAGATGGAGGTATTAGGGTACATGCTACCTCCAATGATGGGTGTTGTGTTTCGCAGAGAGAGAGAGAAAGGTATCAGAATACCTGGAGCTGTTAGGGTACATGCTACCTCCAATCTGAAGTTGTGAACCAAACTTGATCGTGGATTTTTCCTCTTGGAAACGACTGCAAACTCCGGATCCTAGTTCGGTCAGGGAACACAACAGAACAATCCACAGAGACAGGATAGCATCACAGCTTGATCTCTACGCGATCAAGAACAGTTGGTTCAGAATAAGTTCAGGCACAACCTTACATATCACAAGTGGCGAAGCCGGCCGGGCATGTGGCACAATGTAAGCTCGATAATGCCCCGTAGCCTCTCAAGAGCAGTGCGCAATGACTGAGTGAGTAACTGGTCCCGTTGGTCGCATCCATCACAGACACATCTTGATCGGAACCGTATCAATTCTCAGCACTGTTTCTGATGAGATGACATGAGTTCGACTCAAAGGACTTGTAGTTCTCGTCCGAACTGGGCATGGCCCTGCCGGCTTTGGCTGCTCGTCTTTGGCGGATTAGTCGGTTGGTTCTGTCCAGCATGGTGTTGGACAGGAAGTGAGGAAGACCACCCATCAGAAGGACGACGAGCAGTATGTGTCCTGAGCTCGTTCGGCTGGGGCTGGCTGGCTGACGGGGCTGGGCAGCCCCTCACAAAAATACTGTTTATCTGAACCAATCAGCAGTACTTTTCTCTCACATAAACAAACCAGTAACGATACGAACCAGTCAACCGAACATGGATTCAGGCAGACGGGATAGCATACGGGCTCGTCAGGCAGTGACACCTCAGGTTGGATTCAGACTGCGAGAACATGATATCTCGTCAATGCTCATGCCAGTTGTGAAGTTGTCGCTGGCGATCGTGATACCTACAATGTTGTTCCCTTGGAAATATGTATTTGCTTCTTTCATGGATCATGAATCATGATTGAACCATGGCTACTGATTACTGACGTGTTCGTACTCAAGAACTTCGCAAAATTTAGTTCGTTCGTACGGGGTTCATGAAGAACTACAATGCTACAACATCATTGCATGGATACAGCGCAAGCGAGAAAGAATTATTGCTTAGAAGGCAAACTGGGGCATATATTCTGTTCTGATGACGAGAGAGCAAACGGCTTTGGGAAGAAGTGCTGCTATATCGGCAAATTCTATCTGTCTTTTCAAATAAAAGACCTGCCTATAAATGCCAGTCTGATCTGATGCAGACGTTCCTACTTGACTTCCGGAAGTTACAGCACGGTGTATCTGGAAGTTTGAAATCAATGATTTTTTCCCCAGCTCTGATTGAATCAATCTGCCCTCTATTTCCGGCACATTGTTACTTTATAAAACTAAAAGAAGAAGAATAGGATAGGAATTCGGCTGGCCTCTTTCTTTGCCTCTTGTGTTTACAAAGGAAAGTTTTTCGGTACCACTTATAGACTGGTATTTCATTAAGAGAGATTAGAAGTACATTACAAGTTACCTACTCATTGGTAAGCGCCAAGTTTACTAGAGAGAAGGCGAACTAAAAACACAAGAAAGAAAGAAGAACAATTGAAACAAGAACCGAGGGCGAAAAAACAAGCCTAAAGACGACCTCGTCTCCCTAACCAGACAACAACGCGCACGCCCGCGCACAAAGCAACAGAACAGGTTCTGTGACGATAGGGAGAGGCAAACTTGCGACAACTGATGGCTGCGTTAACTCCGTAACGCGTCTACGGCCGGAGCCCATCAACCTCCGAGACGAAGTCATCCAAGAATGTGTCGTCCGAGAATAGGACCTTGAAAGCCTTATGCTTGGACTCCGAAAACGGCTTAGCAAAGATGGACTCCAACTTCTGTGTCTCTGCAGTGTCGACAGGCTCGGAAGCATTCGCGAGCCCCAACTTGACCATAAGAACCTTCTGTGCCTGAAGAGTCGGGTTGGACACATGAGGCTTAGCAGCTAAACGAACACTTCTCCTAGGCAAACCGTACAAAGAAAAGTTTATATATACGAAATGATAAAATCAGCGCCATATGAAAAGGTGTGATCTTTCCTCTCTCCTTTATATACTCTATTTATTATGCAGACATATTCTTTGCTTGTTTTTTAAATGTTGAAAATTGTTATTGGGTACAGAAATACATCACCACTAGCCTTAGGTGCTAAGGAACATTAATGTTTCCATAAACGGCCAATTAATCAATCACAGACGTTCTCACCGGATATGCAAATTCTCAAGAGATGACATCACTTTCCTATTTTTTTGCTCAATGATTTAAAAGTCCTTTTTTTACCCCTGGACTACATGGTGATGCGCATGCACACACTCCTCATCATGAACATATAACATACAGTATTTGCAGTTTTTTTACTGTCAGTATTTGCAGTTCTAGCATTCAACTTCAGAGTTCCAAGTTTCCTAGGTTAAAAGAGTTAATTGAGGACTAACTCAATAGAAGACTTGTGGGTGGGTTTCTTATTTGGCTCCTTAATTGCGTGTTGAATTTCTATCCTTATTGAAGTCGTGCGTTGCACATTCTAGAAAACCTGTGTTCAGTTTCTTCAGACATTTGGTCTCACAGTCGTTGATTCAGTACTGTAAATTTGTAATTTTTATTTGTTTGGTTTTGTTGAGGGCAGCCGAAAGTCGCAAACATAACTTCAAAACTACTCTGTATAGTGTAATATATAATCTGAATTTGATCAGGGGTATGGATTCGGTGACCGTAGTAGTCTTATTAAAAGCATGAGGGCAGGGCAAATTGTACTTAACAATTCAGTTTTGCATGCGCAACACGGCCCTCTAATGGTCAACTGCCGCAACCCCCGGTTCACATGATTTCCTAAAGATAAAGATCTCTCCAGTCTACACAGCACAGGTTCACGTCCAGATACGACTCCCAAGTTCCAGAATGAAAGAAACATGTACTCACTTGTTATCGGTGCCTCACTGACACTGTTCATCTTTTTTCAGGAAAGAAAGTGGACATTTGGTCCTACAAGCATACTGCCACTTGAGTGAAAAAATGGAGGGCTTCTTATACAGTTTATTGATCTGCACAGTTACAAGAAGCAAATTGCTGCTAGTATATACTTTCCTGCTCCACTGAACAAAGCGGCATCTCGCAAATCTCGACGACACCGTGCAAAAGTGCCAGTATACAAACATCCATGCGACGCCAAGTGGACGGACCCACCGACGACCGGGCGTTGCCGCCGTTCCCGGCCTCTCAACTCGCAGTCGCCGGGTTTCCAGATCGGGAAGCAGCAGCGAGCCGCGGATTCCCGTTGGCCATTGCTCCACACTAGCTACTTACCCCAAAACGAGCAACCACAGGAAGAGAAGATGCCTAGAGGCTAAAGCAAACGAACGGTTCCAGTAACCACAGGAATTGTATCGGCTCCGGCTTCACTTGTAGTCTAGTATACTGCTGCCCGGGTGGCCGCTCAAGCACATGCCGTGAGAAGAGCGTGGACTTGCCGAGGGAGTGTGAGTGGAGTGGAGCGGCGGAGTGATCTTTTTCTCTTTCTTTTTTGTTTTCAATCAAGTTTTTATGGGAGGCACCGATGATATGTGCTGGACGGTAGCGGCGGTGCACGCATCAGTCGAGCGGGTAGCATGTGTCCTCACCGCCCGTGTTCCACAGGAAGTGCGCGTAGGCTGCCGCGTGGTGCGCGTTGCCGGGGTCGGCGGCGATGGCCTCCTGGTACGTCTCCTCCGCGGCCGCGAGGTCGTTGCGCGCCTGCCACAGGAACGCCGCGTACCACCCCAGCGCCTCCGCGTCCGCCGGCTCCGCGCGCACCGCCCTCTTGAAGAAGTGCTCCGCCCTGAAGTGAACGCACGCAAAAACAACACGGCTCCGATCCGTCAGCGACTGACTCCATGCACCATAGAGCATTATTGTACTGTAACCAAAACCATCGCGCGCGGCGCGGCAGTCGGCGCCGATCGACTCACCTGTCGAGGTCGCCCTGCACCTGGTACAGGAACTGCGCAAAGTTAGCCAGGAGCAGCGAGCTGTTGGGATCCTCGGACACTGCCTGCTCGTATCTCTGCGTCGTGGCCACGTGCTCCGACGAGTAGGCCACGTCTGGCTTCGGCGCCTCCACCGGCGCAACGAGCTGCTCTAGAATTTCCGGGTCCATCAGCTCCTCTGCACGCACGCTCGCCTGCATCCTGGTGGCTTCATCGGAGATCCGTTTCCAGATGACCAGCTCGTCCTGTACAGTCTGTTGTGCCTCCTCCACGGCCATTGAGTCGGACACGGACGCATCAGAGCCCGAGCCCGCGCCCAGTGGCGTCGCCTGCGACTGCGACACGTCCTGCGGCACCACCGCTCCGCTTTGTCGGTACGACGACTCGTCCGACTGGCCGTCGCCGGTGGCGCCGGCAACCGGCCGCACCTTGCCGCCCCCGTCGCCGTTTCCGCCCACCGAGGCCGTGCGGCCGGTGGAGAACGTCTTGAGCGCGGGGGTGTCGAACCGCTGCTGGAAATGGGACGATTGTTCCGGTTGCTGGGTGTCCACCATCTCCACAGCCGCCACGGCGGCGTGGGGAGGAGGGAGGGTGGCAGCGGCCGCGACGCTGTCGCCCATGGAGTAGACGGTGAAGTTGGCGAGGAGCAGCATGAGGGAGACCATAAGGGCCGGGGTGCCGGAGAAGATGTGCTGGAAGAGCCAGACGAAGGAGGCGTGCATCTCGGCGTGGACGCGCGCCAGGACGCCCTGCAGGTCCTCGTAGAAGAGCGCCTCCCGCATCTGCAGCGTGAAGCTCTGGAGCTCCCGGATGATGAGCACCATCGAGGAGAAGGCGCGGCCCACCGCGGCGCGCGCGGACTCGTCGGCGCAGTCGATGAGCCGCTCGTCCCACCGCCCCTGCTCCAGCTGCTGCTGCTGCTGCTTCCTCCGCTTGAGCATCAGCAGGGACAGCGGCAGCCCGACGCTGCTCGCGCTCCGCTCCACGCTCGCCGGCCACCCGCAGCCGCCGCCGCCGCCCGGGTGCTGCCCCGCCGCGAGCTCCTGGATCCTCCTCAGGAACTCCTCATCGTCCCCGCCGTCGCTCCCGACGCTGTCGATGCTCGCGCTGAGAGCGCGCCTGATCGCGTGCTGCCCGCCGCGCCGCCGGCCAATAACACCGGCGTTCCAGCCAGCCAGCGACGACTGGCTCCTCGCCAGCCTGACGCCCAGAACGGCATGCCGCGGCGACGTGGCAATGGCGGAGGACGAAGGCGACGCCGGAGAGGAAGAGGAGGACGAGGAGGAGGGGGAAGAGCACGGCGGCGGGGTCACGACCGCCGCGACCTGGATGCCCATGGGTCTCGGCCAATACCGGCCACCACCGCAACGATGGTTGGGAATGGCCCGCGGCTCCAGAACCGCGGGAGGCTAATGCCGGGGGGCGGGGGGCGTGTGTGAGAGGAAACGAGCGGTGGCCTTATTTCAGGATCCGGAAGGAGTCCTGGTCAACCTCACCACGCAGCTCGTGAGAGTAGCTGGTACCAGTGCCAGTGCCTGTGCTGCAATGGCGACACCACCTTTAGACAAACTTTATAGACAAACACAAAGCAGAAATGAATGATATTTGTGTTAGCGGTGATACCTCGCGTCCTGACGGGGGCGTCTAATCCTACATGGTTGATAGGCTCTGTCACACCGCGCTATAAAGAAAGGTGGGGCTGGCGGTCTCTTCACGAGGTTGACTGAGCTACAATTTCCACCGACAAAACCCTAACACTGATCCAGAGAGGGTGCGCGGCTAGTGACGAAAAGCCGTCACCGTCTTCTCCGTCGGGACACCGCGCCACTACTGGACCGCACCACCGGACTCCACAGCAACACCGACATCGTCATGGACGACTCCAGCTCTTTCGCCAAGCCCTCCGACGGTCGGTGATGTTTCATCTCTCACCTTCTCCTCTCTGTTACTCTATTTCTTCATGTACTTTGATGAACTACATCTTTTATCACAAGTAGAAGAGGTTGTACCCACTAGATCTATGCCTAGTTGATCCTACAGTATCTATCAATGGTATCAGTCGAGCCTAATCTGGGCGTAGATCTAGGCTTTGGGGTAGAAAAGAAGAAATTAGAAGGAGGTGATTTGATTTTTGATCTGGATGAAACCCTAACCCTAACCCAAAGGGGAAAGGATGGAGAAGGGGAGGAACCAACCTGGGTTTTCTTGCCTTCGTCGACACCGTCGTTTGCATGGGAAGAAGACCGCGCCGCCACTTCGCTGGGGCGCGGGGAGGGAGTCACCGGAGGGCGCGGCCTTGCCGCCGCGTGTACCCCTACTGGGATTGGGCGCAGGGCACCGCAGCAAGACCGCTCGACGGCAGCGCGCTCACCCTCGGGTGAACGCGCGCGCCGGCGAGGGGACCTGCGGCGGTGCCGCCGACCTCATTCCTCCGGCTGCGCTGCGGGTGGCCACCGTCGCTGCTATGCTTCGCGCTGAGAGAGGGAGAGGAAAGGGAATGAGGCTAGGGTTCAGGGGGAGAGCGCCATCGCGCCGTTTTGATCAGCTGAGACGCGCGCTCAGCTGTCGATCTGAAATGGATGGCTGCGAGCGCACCGGGCCGGATTCAGCCCAGGCGGGCGAGTGAAATCCTGGCCCAGGCCTAGGTTGCGGCCTGGGCGTGGGGGAGCGCTCGCACGAGCCGCCGCCGCAGGCCGAATTTGCTACTGGGCCGCGACAGTGCGCAGTGCGCAAGCAGTTTCGGCCCAAGTTGCACAATTATTTTTTTGGTTTATTTTCTTTATTTTTAGAAGCAAATTTTGATGACTTTTGACTAGTTTAAATCTCTATCCAAATTTGAATCAACGGGATAATTTTTTCAGAGAGTGGATGAATGCTTCTGAAAAGTAGATAAAGTATTTTTCATGTTTTCGCTGCGAATGATGATGTTTATGATCTTCTAATTAAATTCGAACCAACGAAAGGATTTAATTTTGAAGAGTAGTTATAATTTTTAGTAAATTTATGATTTTGCTATTTTCTGACCAAAGTTGTTGATAGCAATATTATAAATGTTTGATTTATGAGTTTATGCATTGATTCTATTTTCTGCCCAACGGTGATGTAGAATTAATGTAGAAAAAGTTGTATGTTTTAATTTTAACCAACGTTAAATTAACTCATGCAATCATTATGTTGTGTTTTCTCACTTTCTAAGACACTGTTTTTTAGACTCAATCCTATGTCATTTATCTCGCATATTCCGCCTCTTGAAGGGGGCAACTACAGAGTATGGCGAGAGAAGTATGAGCTCGCACTTGCGTTGTCTAAGAATGACTTAGCACTTACCTCTTCATGTCCTACTGAGCCAGAGGACTCGGTGAGGGTAGAAAATGAGACTGATGCTGATTTCACTGCTCGAAAGCGAGATCATGAAGAAGTTAGAATGAAATACGATCTTAATCGGAAGAAATGGGACATTTCGAACCGCAAGTGCTTGATGGTGGCCAAGTCCACTATCTCAGATGCTATAAGGGGATCAATCCCAGATTGTGATACCGCCACCAAGTATCTTAAAAAAGTGGAGAGCCAGTTTACTGGCTCTTCAAAGGCTTATGCAAGCACCTTGATAAAGAAATTATTTAATGAGAAATACTCTGGTGGAGGTATAAGAGAACATATATTGAAGATGAGCAACACGGCATCCAAGCTCAAGCCAATAAATTTGGGGCTCAAAAATGAGTTCCTGATTCATTTAGTTTTTGCTTCCTTGCCGAAAGAGTATGAAACTTTTGTTGTTAAGTACAACATGCAGCTCGATAAGTGGGACATTGAGAAGCTCATTGTAATGTGTGTGCAAGAGGAGAGGCTGAAAAGCTCACAAGGTGACTCTGCTAACCTTGTGAAGGACAACAAAAAGAAAAAATTCAATAAAAATGTCAAACCTCAAGGAAAAACCCCTCAGAATGACCACCATCCGAAGAACAACAATGCTCAAGTTGAGAAGGATCAGTGTAAATGGTGCAAGAAGCATGGACATTACCAGAGCGACTGTCCAGACTTCCTAAAGAGCCTTCTGAAGAGAGGGATTTCGTACGAGTAGGACCCTGCAAAGAGGAGAAAGAAGAATTAAAGTTGCAAATGGAGTTAAAGCTGAAGTTGAGGCCATTGTAGATATCTCTCTAGAATTAGATGATAGTTTTAGACTTTAGCTTTTAGATTGTGGCAGAACCACCTAATCTAATGCCTCCTAGGAGTACTTGTCCTCTATTAGACACTAAGTACTCAAGGGACGATGCTAAATTACGCAGTTCCGTCGAGCACACCCCAAGGGAGAACCCGAAAATCCACATTTTTTCATCAAGATCACAAATGAGAGAATAAAGCTTTCAATATTTTAGCCATTTCTTACATCCTTTTCCATGCAACATCAGAGTATAATATTTATTGTTTATAATAGCGGAATATGATCATGCTATCAAAGTTATGAACAATTTAATTTAACAACGGAATATAAACATGTGATCAGACTTACAGAGAAAATAAATATCTATTCATGACATGATGAAGCATTGATATATAAACTATGACAACAGATTATAAAACTTTTATTTATAAAAAAATTAGTCAGAGTTATAAATAAAAACTATGATCGCAGCGTAAAGGAATCCTCGCTGAGCCCACCAGGAAGTTTCCGCACACAAGTTTCAGCTCTAGCATCCGCCAATCACCTACAACAGGGTAGAACAAACCCTGAGTACTCAATTGTACACCGCATGACTTACCGCGGACGACATTACGGTCGACAGCAGCTACGCACGAGTTTTAAAGTGAACAGAAAATTGCTAATGATCACGATTGAGGTTCAACAAATTCCATGACTCTAAAGTTGATCTTATCAACTATCTAACAGAACAATCCGCACAACCAAAAGGACTACCCAAGTGGAAGATACATGCGTGCCAAGATGAGTTCGTCTTCGAAGTTCTGCTTCGCGATAGAGCGTTGACTCAGAGCTCGCAGCGCGTCCTAATGAACTTAGGCAATTTTTTCCGAGATCCACGTGACACTCAACATGACTATAAGCTACACCATTCTCGAGTGCTCACCTTGGGACAACCAATAGTGCAAAAAACATGAATCTAGTGTTTAAGAATTTTAATCAAAATTTAAATGCCAAAACGGCATCATCATTAGGTTTTAGGCTAGATCATTTTAGTTCTAGAGGCTGGAATTAAATTCCAACTTCAATCCTCGATCTATCAAAATACTATCGAACGACATTTATTTACCGAAACAAAAGTTGCATTTTCATCTATTAAACTTGCGCTCCAAATTTTATTCAAGTACTAAATACAAGTTATATTTTATTTTGTTTGTTTATAAAAATTACTTCCGTGCCAATGTTTAGAACTACTTATTCTACTCTTCGCGTTATGATTTTTCATTAACACATATATGTATTTACGTAACGAACTCACTATAATAATAGATCTATCTCTCCGACCATAATCTTAGTGCTTAGCGAGCTCGTAACACCAGAGGTGTTACAACCAAACCACTAAAAGAATCTCGTCCTGAGATTCGAAGTAAGAATCAGAAGTGGGGAAAGATGATTACATTTCATAAATCTAGAATTACACAAAAGATTACATGACGTCTAACGCTAAATTACACCGGGATTTAAAGTTACATGGTTAAGAGCAACCTAGTACAACCAAGGCTTAATCCAGAAGTCGGGATAGACGAGGGCAATGGAGAAACAAGATAATGATTAACCAAAACATGGTGTATGACCAACAGATCCAGAAATAGGAGACTGAGAAGTGAAACATCGTGAACCCTAAGACCACACTAACCAACGGTAGACTTGAACTTCTTTGAAAACTAGATCCCTTCTTCTCAGATTATACCATCACCTCTGTCTGACGAACCTAGTTCCACAATGACAACTGGATCTCGTAGCTCTGCTTAGGATTTGAGAGGGATGGGGATGAAGAAGAAGAGCAAGGACCAAGGGCATCTTATAGTGGCGAACCGAGGTGGGGCGCAGCGCACCAGAAGTGGAGACGGCACGGATGGGATACACTGTCGGTTCATGCTGTGGGGATAAAGTTGGCCATGGCGCGCTCCCTGCGCAAGCGAGCGGAGGGGGGAATAAAGGAGAGGAGAGAGGGTTCGCTCGATAAGGGAGGCGTGCGGGCGGTCGTGTCCCCAAAAGAAGAAAGAAGGGAGGGGGGTCCGGTACGGGGACAAGGGCGAGGATCAAGAGCCAACTGAATGCCGGGAAAAGGAGAAGCGCACAGTGCACGAGGACAGCGAGTGCGACACGATGTCGCGGCCATGCGAGGACAAGGTG